TGTCTGATTCTTACTGCGTCTCCATTCTTGAGATGCTTTAAAGGTAGTCTATTTAGACGGCTTCATGGGTAGAATCCTAAGGCACCTCACTTTTTTTCAAGGTAAAACAAGCGAAGTGACATATAAGGCACACCTGAGGACAGTGGGTTCCAAGTGTATTGGAAATGATAGTGCTCGTTTCGTCGGTCCATGTGCCACGGTAGGCTAGCGGCAGATAACCCATTTACTTCGTAGACAGGCTCATTGACACTAGACTTTCTGCTGTCGGTTGATCGAATGGGCTGGAAGGGCTTACTGTTGTTACCGGAGAATGCAGTAACCTCCATTTTCGACGCCCGCTAAGAACACCAAGCCTCATGATCAAGGGCTTTTTGTGACCTGACTAGTAACAGAGTGCCACAGTTCCTTCTGATCTGACTCCGTTTGGATAATTTTGTGGTGGTCAAGTAATTCCTGGGAGCGAGTTGAGATCAAGGTAATAAATGTTTCGAGTATGACTGCAGAGTGACCGTCCGGAAGAAGTGGTTTCCAACATGGAAGGCCAGTGTTGCTAGTTATCCTGCGATGCATGGCAACTGCGTGCATTCCCTAGCGGATATTGGTAGTTCAGCTGAACGGATAGTGCAGTTAGACTCAGCTACCCCCTTCGGTACATGGACTACGAGAAGATCCGAAACATGCAGATGTTCGCGCAGAAAGGTGAACCAAAATGGTCTGCATTCCTGTACAAGGCTCACCAAGTGAAACTTATTGAATTGTGCTCATTTTGAGACTACGCTTGCATCCGGGGAGAACCGCCAAAAGTTGTGGAAAGTCACTCAAAAACCTAAGGTTGGCACTCGAGCAAAACACTGTGAGAAGTCTGAACCTATTCCCTAAATAGTACAAATTGAGCGCGGGATGACCGCAATGGTGACACTCCCGTGGTAATATTCGACGGACCGTTGCGTTGAAATCCTCTTAAGAACTACGAGAGCGGATTAGCGAACTGTGCTAATGAGCTGATACAACTCACAACAATAGTCCTCCTCGACAGAGTCATTACTGCAGGCATTTGGAGTGTACGCGGTCACAAATAATGTATTTTCTTGCCATGCCTGTTGATCCTATAGGAGTATCAAAGCCGAACTACATACCGCCGGATTTACAGCAGTGCAGTCTGGGCTGGCCTACTAAGTTCTACACCACTGCCACATAAAAATATTGTGGCTATCTCTCTAGTACCAGTCATTTTTCAGTCGTAAGTGAAATATAGCTCCCTGATCAATGGAGGATGTCAACATAAGCTGGCCGCAAATTTATTGCTCTTCTATCCAAGCGCGTTGGATACAAATGTTGCCTACCATGCGAAAAAATGGTCTATTCAAGCCAGTGCTAAAAGTACTACAAATAACACGTGCTAAATATGGGGACAGTTTATCACTTGATAAGAAGTGTTCCTTAGCTTATTATTATTACTGGTAAGTGCTAGGCTGAAGTCAGCTCAAAGCGTTTATAGTGGGTTAAATATTCTAACATACTAAAATTACAGCTTCCCTATGTATTAGGAAATTAAACGGTTTGCTTGTTTGAATGTCTCTTAACTTTGTTCGATTTACAGACGTACACATGTACACACGCATCCGCTGCGTCTGCTCGATGGCGACCGGTTATTGGTGGCCAACTTCGCACTTCGTACCTACCCACATTTTCCCTAGCTGCTTCTCTATTTGTGCCTTATTTAATGCCTTAGTTAACTTATAGACCTTACAATAAGCCATTTTTAAGCTTATTTGTGTAATTTCCCCCGCTCACCTTCGGTTGACTGTGTGTCTGCATATGTAGTACAGTCGTAACCGGTTTATTGCTCACCATCGGGATATTTCAAAAGTGGGCAATAAAGCGGGGTGGGCAATTAACCGATATTGCCATTTTTCCAAAAGAGAAACAACCATTGAATTATTGTACATTATATCACTTGAATTGTAGCTTGCTAAAATGCGTCCTTGTAACTGAAGCCTACAAAAGCCTTGTATACAGAAGAGTATTAACAATAATTTAAAAATTATAGCACAAAGTATCTTACCTAGAAAGCTGTAGAAACTGGAGTAACTGTACATTTTTGCTGCGAAAGCAGTCCAAGGTCAGTTGTACATTGTTTTGAGCTGTTACTCCAGCCACTTTTACACTAATGAAATCCAAGTTGTACCCTAAATCGTTGCCTAGCCCATGAAGAAGTCCGATATCCGCTGATTGCTGTTACTCAAGAGGGCATCAGGTACGTCATCCTCTTAGTCGCTACTTTCTTTCTGTCCTAGTCGGTTCTCTAAAATGTTGCTGACGAGTTAATCTTCAGCAGTTGTCAGATCTGAGGTTCTTTCCACACCGTTGTCAATGGTGACAAACTTTTCTGCATTGAGGACTCGGCTTGTGACAGCGCTGATCTTATCCTCAGCGATGACTACGTCCTCAGAAAGTGCATCGAATTTTAGTCAACAGAAGTCAGCATGCCGAAGCACGTTTTTATTGTTGCACTGGTAACATGTCTCCAACTATGTTGAAACGTACTGAATTGCATCGAGCATAGAATGCTTGGCACTGACATCCACCGCTGACAATGAGCCTGATAACGGCGTTTTCGATTTGATAAACACTTCGGTCCACAATTTCTTTCTGTAACGGATTTTCAGATTTATCGTGACATCTTTGTCCATGGGTTGAAGGATGTTGGTCGTGTTTATCGGCAAAAACTCCATTTGTATGCTTTTCAGACCTATCTGTGAGTGAGCTGTGCAGTTATCCAAGAGCAACATAATTTTTCGGCTACTTTGGCCTCACTCCTTGTCCCATTCGAGGACCCACTCGGTGAAAAGTTCTTTCGTCCCCCACCAAATTTTTAGCTCTGTAAGTTATGATAAGTGTATTCGCATTAAAGCCACGGTGGTTTCTTGCTATTTCTAAGCAAAATCAATTTTCTTTTATTTGTGCCTGACGTATTTGTGCAGCAGAAAACACAAACAGTCTCTCTGAATTTGCTCGGTGAAAAAGACCTGTTTCGTATGCATTGTACAGGTTGTCATCATTAAATGCAGTGAAAAGTTCAGGCAGTCGATCTTTCAGCCAGTTTTCAGATAACTCTGTCCACGGAATTATTTTCTCCATGTGCACGTTTATACACAATTTGTTTTCTGTCCTTCCATATTTGCAACCATACTTCTATGGCATACAAAGTTTTTCCATGTCTTCCCCCAAATGCTTCTAACTGTTTTTAGAAGCGAGCCTATAACTGGTTGGCTGTGCGCACGAACCGATATCATCCGATCCTTCAGTGTAGTTTCAACTTCTTCATCCCTTCTAAATCGCTTCCTTTTCTGGGAGCTTGCAATGCCATGCGACAAATTTTGCCCGAGTTCTTTTTCACTGGCAATCAACCTGGCTAAGCTGGGACGAGAAATGTATAACTCACGCGACAACTTGGCCTGCGAGATTTCTGGTGGATAAGTTTTAAGTTTGCCTAAAACGTCCAACTTTTCTGTCGAGGATAAATCCTTTTTGTTACTGGTCATACCTGTGTCTAACCAATGGAGTACTAACAAACGTGGAGCGGTAAGATTACCCGACTTTGTTCAGTTCTCGAGTTTTGAATGGTGTCGAGAGTTTGGCCACAGCCGTCTGTACATCAAGCTTGTTCGTGTATTGAATGATGTAGGTAACCTTTTACGATCTGTCAATAACGACGTTGACATCTTTGTTGTTCTTCACGTAATCGGACTGGTTAGCTGAGGGGTAGTCATAATAAAAGATAGTCCGAAGAAGGAAAATTGAAAAGGCGACAAGAACACGGCTCACGAAGCTGGGCAATTAAGCGGTAGGACGACCCTGGCAGTGAGCAGACGTTGAAAATGTAGCACCTTTATTCGAAAAGGATTTGTATTTTAACCAACTGCGCACTAATGCAGGGTGGGCTATAAATTGGGGAGGGCAATAAAGCGGGTTCGACTGTACATGGCACACGACCGACGTGCTATCCGTTTGATCACATTTCGGCCTACGCAAGCGCGCAATCTACAGACTACCTCAGTTGAAGATGACTTACGTATGCTAGTTCCAAGTAGGCCCTGTCCTCTTCAAACAGAGGTAACCATTATGTCAGTCTCTTGAGGAGAGCAATCGGAAGTCCGTATTCACTCGTCTTTCCGCTGATGCTCAATGCATACATGCGACAACACGTTGATTATGTTATCCAAGTCCAGTGAAACTGACCGAACGGTGACCTAGTAGCTCACGAGACTCTACAAAATCGTGCAACCAAACTGTCAGGGGACAGCACCACCTTCGGTACCAGGAACGGTAGAAGAAGCTCGGAGTGTTCAGTGAATGCTACTGGTGGCTATGTGCAGACGTTTTATTATTACACCTAATACTGTAAGATCCCAGTCACGTGTGCCGCCACCTACCAAAACTCTGACCGAACACCAATCTGAGAATCAGCATCTTGCAATGAACACAACAGTACAGTCGACTAGCTTTTGGACGGAATTATTTCTCCTTCATCGTATTCCAACACTTGAACGCTCTTCTAAACTCAGTCGATAAATCCAGACATTAGCCAATTTCAAAAAAATGCTTGTATCGCGCACCAACCCTTCATTTTGCTACCTGAATGGTTGCTCTGGAAAGAATTCCGGCTGGTTAGGTTTTTGAAATTATAGTTCAGGTTGGTGCTCGTTACGTAGTGTAGACGGGAGAACAATCCGATGGTTCTTCACATTAAGCGTTAATGACAATATCTCACCGTTCGGTTTTCCATGGTGCTATCGCATTACTAAAAGCCTACTTCAGTAACTAAATGCAAATGAATTCATATACATCCTTGTGTGAATTTTATACCGCCCGCATGCATAGGGTTTGGATTTGCAATTCCTACTTCGCTAAGCAGAGGTTTTTCAATTCACCATAAACCGTTTTCCTTCCGGGAAATGTGCAGTCAAGAATACAAAGATAATAGGGAAGTTACTCACTGCGTCCGTTGCATTGATATTCTGGGCAGCATCCAAAATCGTTTAAACAAACGTCGTCTTCCATTCCACACTGAAAAATAACATCATACACCCGTTATTTGAAAATTCTGGAGGAGGAGCATGAAGAATTGGTGCTTTATATTGGGAAGGATGGATAGAACATTTTATAGTCAAACAGGTAGCTCTGGAATTAATCTATTGAACATATACGAACTTAGCTTCCTAGTAACGTTCTGAACAGCTGTGGGAAAGCAGAATGTTCCGTTGGCAATACAGCTCTTTCGATGGAAACGGTAAACAAAGGTTAATGGGATATTAAGACTAGATACTAGTAAAAATGTTGGCATATGGTTGAATTAATTCAACTTCACTCACATATCGATTCACCGCGTGCTGTCCCAGGATGGTTTCGTAGCCTCTTGAACGAGCATTTATTGTGATACAGAGGCAATACCACATGAGAAGCAGTGCTGGCACCCGATGACTAGAATACATGTCCAAAAAGCGATGTCGTGTCTTCCTGAATCCCCCTCTTGATGCTTTGCTTTCGTATTCCTTTTCAACTTTCAAATCGGTGAATCCAGCTAAAAACTTGCACAGACGTCGTGTATTGGCGTACGTAGTTTAACTGTCCCTAGGTAAGCTAAGTACTTTCCTTCGTCTCATATAATTTTTCCATCCAACTGTAATTTTCAAAGAAATGGTCTTCGGCGAATAAGCAAATGGCATTCGACCAATGAGCCCTGAGTTATCATTTGCTCAAGTGGATTGGTTTAGCTAGCGTATCCTTTATCTGATTCCCCTCCCTTATCACGCCAAATCACACTGCATCATTCTCCTATCAGGTAGTTCGACTACGCATTGGCTGGGAGTTGGAAATTATCCGCCAAATCACTATTGTCGTGGTGTGGAAAAAATTGAAGCCTAGGGCACTTTTCACTATAAATGAGCAGATGACGAAAATGAATGGTATCTGACAGGGCTGAGAAGTGAAATCGAATATTGTAAATCACTGTCTGTTCTCGTGACATCGGAAGATAACACGAATTTTGTACCAACACACAACAACTCGTTAGTAGCGTGGCGTCCAACTGCAACCGAGCAGAGCCCTGAAGTGAAGGGAGGCAGATTTAATTACACAGTAAGCAATACGTCTTCTGATACACATCGTAGGATTTTTATAACACTTAACCATGATAAATGAATATTTTTGGAAATTCGTGAACTTTCGCAGATGGGGTTGTTGATAAGAAGAAGTTACTGTCCAACTCTCTGGCTCTGACTATGTCCCTGCGCCAAGATTGCAAAATGTAGGAATCTGTTCTTTAATGATTCCTAAAGTTAGACAGGAAGATAAGCGGACACGTTCGCTTAATTCATGGTCGAGATAATCACTTGAAAATGCCGCATGTATGTCGCTACTTAAGTGGCACTTGTTTTTGTCTGCCTGTCGTAACCATGCTCCCGGATTAGGCACCTCTGAAATCATTGTCATGCATTAAGTGGAAGTCCAAGTAAGCAACTGCGCAAAATATCCTTCGGAAAATGGTTAAAGCTAGCTAGATACGAGGCGGACGATGCACATTTTCCAGAACCAGATTGGCGTTTAATTGTAGCACTCTTAGCAGCTGTAGCTAATCGGGCGGCGGAATTTGGATTCAACTAGGAACGTGAAACTAAAAATATTTGTGAAACCGCAGGAAAGCAACCGACCTAACTTCACAAGGTTTCAAACTTGTCGTTTCATCTGGTTGCAACCGGTAACATACATGCGCACCACGTGTACCCGTTCAGTTAATATTTGTCGACATTCGCTTTTAATTCGGCACAGACAGCGCTTACCTTATTGGCTTGCTGCACCCAGTACAACAAGATGTTCTGGTAAATAACCGTCGTTGTACTCACCCATCTCCCGCTTTCTTTGCGCTACGGGTGTCATACGCATTAATACACGAGAACAACGGGAGACCCAGAAAACACTATCTACAAAGCCAGAATGCAATCTGTCAGACGAACACGTCCATAATGCTTATGTGGCTGGTTTCTATGCCAAATTCCTTAATTGATTCTGTACTCTTGAAGCTGGTATCGCTTTTGCTTCGACTCGAATTCGAATAGTCAATATTTTCCCGTTATGGAAAGTTCAAGAGGTGGAAAATTCCTCAAACTTGTTACAAAAGCATATTAGTATAGAAACTTAGTCCTGCCAGCTCCCTCACTCAGTTTCTACGGAGAAGAGAGCGCAAGGTTAATTGATAGCTAATTAATCTCCATTTTATACAATTGTATCCTTCTGGTATCCTGTTGATAGAACATTCTGGAATGGGATATGCTTGTGGAGTGAAGTCTTGATTACTAGGCCAAAATTGTTTACCTTGAACGTTTCACGGAATTTTATAAATGCTGTACATCAGCATAGTCTGGCCTCTTTTCATTGGCTCTGTAGGTGCACCGTCAATGTACGGACAGAGAATGGTAAGAAATGCGTGTCCGCGGTCTATTGGTATCTGAACCTGCATCAAATTTAGCTCCTTCCTAAATGTCTGTGTCTAAGCAGATTTCTCTGCAATGCCGCACGAGTTATCATGAAAAAAACGCAAGGCAGACCAATAGTAACTTAGCCTGTTTTGCGGATGCACTGTGAGGTTTATTCTAGAAATCCGTGATAACCAAATTTTATGATTGCTGGATAGTTGAAACGCTCCCAGCTAGGTTGTTCAAATTTACTCCGTTCCAGTAAATAATTCGGCGGTAGTGTTCTAGAACGTATGGGTTTTTGTTTGGCAAGCGTTCTCACAGTAAAAAGTCACTAATATCTGTTTGACAACACTGAGACATGGTGGATATAACTCGCTGTCGTTGATCCCGATGATCCACTCCACGGACGTAGTCATTTCAACTCGAAGTTTTCTTCGATCCCTTACCGCAATGACGACGCAAGCGAACACCGTCAAAAATGCAGCGGCGCATTAGCGAATCCACGTAACACAGCCAATTACTCACACACCTGCATATATATGCATGTATACATAAATCGATTAGGTTACTGGGAAAGTGTGATGTTTTTGTACGTTATGCGACCACTCATTGTCGTTTTGCGAGTATCATGTTTATACCGACCTACATCGCATTGTTCGGAATAAATAATATGTTTATTTATGTTGTCCACATGTGTTATGCTGAAGTAAGCCTACGTATCACGTGGCACGAGGTGAAAGCTCATCATCTAGGCAGATTCACTGATACTGAATTTTTGAAAAACTGCCATTCTAAACCATCGATAACTTAGCTGGTGTTACATTAGTTCGGTTAAAAGCTAGCATAAAAGAGTATTGTTTTTAAACGGCCATTAGGACTCGAAGCTAAAATGCTACAACGAATGCTAGCCTCTTGTTCTAAATAGTTCCATGACATACGTTTTCTGAAAAATACTCCGTTGCACAGACTGTATGTGACTATTGTGAAACTGTTAGTAAATAATCAGTCCAATTAAGATACCTGTTCATCGTACTCTTAGATTCTCCCCAGTATTTTCTGTCTTTGCACTTGCTACTTCACTACACATTAGGCAACCTGCAGCTTGGATGCAGTTTCTACCCAGCTGTGGATAGTGAGAAGAATGGCTAGCCGATAGTTCGCCTTTTGCGGAGGTCATACAAGAAGCTCGATTATTACAACCTTCCCAAAATACCCAACGCTTACTTGGAGCCCCAAGCTAAATACTACGTATATTCCTGGCAGCCACAGAAAAAGTAACACCTCCTTACAATTGGAACTTCATTAGGAATACTCAGGAAGTATGAGAGATTGTCGATTAAATTAGTTTACATTCATAGAAATGCGCGGCAGCTGGCGTCGGCATTTCTTAGGTGATCGCAAAATGCCGCACCAAATCCACAACCACTGCAGCTAACCTTACCGCATTCCTTCAAAACCTAGTCACCGCGGAACCAGCTACGAGCAAACATTAGTGGATAGGTCAGACTACCGCAGGAGTGCCAGACCAGGATGTTCCGTCAAAATCGAGAACAAAACATTATTATTAGCGTTCAGACTCTTCGAATGAATCGATCGTGGAATACCCTTTCAAATTACGCTGTCTCGGCATGTGTTTCAGCACAGTCGTTCGCCTACGAGTGCACCAATTTTATGCCTTCATCAAGGTTTTTGGAGTTATCGGAAAGCTTATTGCTAGGTCTACTTCAAGAGACCTAAACCAACCCTGTTGGTAGCTGCATAACGCAACTAGAAGCAATTATATCTTCGTACACTGCCTTGGTTGGCCAAGAGCTCTCACGCCGCATTGTGAATCGCGCTCTATCGAACGCACGCAAATCTCTGTTTGGCCGGATTTGTGCGTGTGCGCCTGTTGGAACTTGCGGCATAACGTGACGCGGCGCGCCACGGAATTGGCCTCAGGGCTACCTGTGCACGGAGCGGTCGATTTTTGAATGACAATCTACCCTCGGCGGAATTTGGACAACTGAGCACTCTTACAACCGGTTGGTTTGTATCGATCATTGCATCTGAAACCGTGGCCTGTTTGTACCCGTATGATTCACGTGCACTTTAGATAGGTCGTATAGGCCCTAAAATCCTAGTCTGTTTCCTCGGCGGTTTGTCGATAACTGTTTGACTCCTCTTGATCACGGTAACAAAAGCGGTGAAATTTGTCCCCTATTTTCTTATCCTTGTCCACATAAAATAGTTTTTACAAGCCCTAAAACCGAGTGACCAATCAGTAAAAACGCTCGTTACCTCAGTTAAAACAAGAAAGTTAAAGAAGAGAGGGGAAACCACTGAAACGCTGGCAAAACATCATGCTTATAACCAGTCCGTCAGCACGGAAAAAATTAAAGGCTCATCATCTAAGATGAAAATAAAGCCGAAATTGCGCGTAAGAGTAAAAAAGCAATCAAATGATAGTTCTCATAAGGTTTCTCTGATAGAGCACAGCGCAGTTACTGCAGAATCGCCCACTAAAGCGATTCAAACGATTGCTGCGCTTGAACTACAGCTGAAGGACTTGAAGGAAAGGTTTGAATCTCTGTACCAAGTGCTAGAGCAATTTAACTCGCTTAAGTATCTTTTTAATACTCCAGATACACCAAAAATAAAACATCTTCGATCCGTTGGGAACTTGATACAACAAGTTGTATTTGAGGTTCATGAGCTCAGTAAACGCTCCAAAAATGTTATATCAGTTAACTTACTAGAAAAGCTATCTCTTGAGGCTATCTCCTCTGCAGTGGCAAACGACTGTCATATTGAAAGACTGCAGTTTTCTTGCGTGAGGCTGCGAAAGAAATCTCCGAAGCAGGTCTGTCCAGTACTTTTTAAATTTTCAAACGACACACTTGCTGAAAAATTCATTTGTAGTAGGAGCGCATTATCCCTTAGGAAAGATTACGTATCCATGGTCCTGAAACCAGATTTAACAGTACTACAAAGGGAGTGCAAAAAAGCCTATTTCCGACAAACAGTCTGTGACCAATATGTTCCGCTACCCACGGAAACTCAGGAACTTCCCCACCTGGTTGACCTAGATGACACTCTGATCATAAATGAATCAGCTCTAAGGTTGAAATCAAATAGCAACTGTCATAAAAATATCGCTTCTGACTCCATTCAGTGTCACATTAGTCCAGCATTACCGCG